GTTAGTCGGACAAGAACATTTGAGTCGGGAGTACTGCCAAAACAAATTGTGAATAATCCTACGGTTAAGGAATATAATTGTAAATAATAGAACTTTAAAGTGTAAAGTGTCTCTTGAAAAGAATATCCACGATCTAGTGGTGCGAGTCCTATATTGTAGAAAAGTGAATTTATTAACAATATATATTTCTAGAAATAACTATCACAATATATCAGACTCTCTAAATATTTGTAACGCTCAGAAATATCCTTCAAATTAATGCATGTATTATGTATTTAATTAGAGTATATAATCCAATCAAATTAAGTACGCGTGTCTGTTCGTGTGATAAAATCCCTATTAGAACCTCCAGAATAAATATCATGAGCATGGCATGTTTTGACATTGTACTAATTAGCAAAAAAATAGTCATCTTTTTTTAAATTAAAAGAAACATAAAAATGATTATTGCTTCAAAACATTGTGTCGGCTTTTAAATTTAGTCTCAAACTTTTCTTTGTTCCTTTTGAAGCTTGAAATTTAGTTAAAATTGTTGTTCGGCCAAATTAACATAAAAAGTTAAAAGGTACACATCGTTTTTAATTTGTAGAATTACCTACACGAGGCTGAAGAACTACATTTTTGCAAAATATTATTTTATGTGTTTAGGATATGCTATATATGTAGATAGAGTAAAAGTAAAGATAATATTAGCTACACTTTCGGCTGTGTGGCCGAATAGGCAAAGGATCTCGATTAACCTTTAGGAAGGTGAAAGCATTCAGCTCCGTAAACCACATAAAAGTTTTTTAGATGTTATTTCTAACCGCTATAAATCGGTGGAAAATTTTAGTTTACTCTACATATGATGATTGGTATACACTAAAGTCAGTTGTTGGAATTGAGTAGTTTGACAAAGTTCAAAATCTATTTACAGTGAGTTCATTGTAGAGCAATCTTTGCCGCTGGGTATCGATATTTATCAAAATCGAATATTTATAACGACACCACGTTGGAAAGATGGGGTGCCGGCAAGTCTGGGGACAATACCGTACCCACCTTCTGAAATTAGCCCTGCTCTTAAGCCGTATCCTAATTGGGAGGCGCATAGCAGTTCCTATACACCGGATTGTGATAAGCTAATATCCGTTTATCGAACTTATGTTGACGTTTGCCAGCGTTTATGGTTGATTGACTCGGGAATAGTAAACGCGACTATGGAACGCAATCAGATATGTCTGCCAAAAATTGCGGTCTATGATTTGACAACTGACCAAAAATTGTTCAGCTATGAATTTCCATCAGAGCATGTAAAAGAAGATAGCTTGTACACAAATATTGTGGTTGATGTTGCCTCCGATCGCTGTGGAGACGCTTATGCTTACGTCACTGATGTTTGGCGTTTCGGAATTGTTGTTTATAGTTTAGGCAAAAATCGAAGTTGGCGTGTAACAAATTTTAATTTCTTTCCGAATCCAGCAGCCTCAGATTTCCAGATATACGGCCTGAATTTCCAATGGCTAGATGGCGTATTTGGTATGAGCCTTTCTCCTTCTTCCCTTCTCGGAGCGGAGCGGTTCCTATATTTTCATCCTATGGCCAGTTTCAAGGTAAGCATATGTTAATATTTTATCAGCACCTTCAGTTTAATTAATTGCATGAACACCTAGGAGTTTATGGTGTCAACTGCTTTGTTGCAAGATGAAAGTGTTTGGCCGGACAAAGCTCAAAAAGTAGCCAAGGCCTTTATAGAGATTGGGGATAGAGGTCCCAATAGTCAGTCCTCCACATCCGGTATAGCGCGTAATGGAGTAATGTTTTTCACTCAAGTACATTTAGATGGTATTGCCTGTTGGGATACGGCCAAAAGCTATAGTAGGAACAATTTACAAAAGCTTTTCTACATAAAAACTAATAATGAGTCTTCACCTCTGAGTAGCTTAATACAATTCCCCAACGATTTGAAAGTGGACGGAAACATGGATGTACAGAGTGTATGGGTGGTAAGCAATCGCTTGCCCATCTTTTTATACAGTCAGCTGGATTATAGCGATATTAATTTTCGCATACTTCGCGCTAATGTTAGCGAATTAGTAAAGGATACAGTATGTGATCCACTATAAGAGATGATCAATTTCATCAGCTCAAACACAAGCACAGAGGATCACTGCCATCAAACTTTTACAAAAGAAAACCGAACCCCGTCGTGAAAAAATACTTTTATAAAATTTAAGAAAACCTACGTGTTAAAGTAACTTCTTTATTTAAGGTTTATCAATATGAAATTCAAATGTAAATCGTGTAAACCCTTTGAATTCTAATGTTATACATAAAATATTGAAAATACCTATTCAGAAATAACTATATCAAAATAATGAAAAAATAACACAAATCAAGCAAAATGGTTGTAGCGTTTTTTCATCGAAACGTAGCCACATGCCATATACCTTGCACTAGCTTATAAAGCGTTGACTGCGTCAACGTGCTTCAACAGTTGAATAGCACGAAAACCAGTAAGTGGAGTGTATACTTCAATGTCATACAATTGGGAGCATAGATATTAAAAGGTATTTATAAGAGTAATTACAGCTCGATTTCCTTTAAAAATATTAGATGGATTTATATATAAATCGGTTGGTTTTGTATTTGTAACGCAAGAATATATTAAATCACATCGCTTATTACATGCAAATAGAAGATTCACGAAAATCTGAAATAATTGAACAAAGTGCATCATATATTAGAACAGGTAGCTAAAATCATTCAATTGCTTTTTACTTAGTCAATTATACTACATTTCGAGCGAGTGCTAATTTAGAATACATAGCAGCTATTCACACAAATTACTATCTTTGAAAAAAAACCTATTCTTCTTAATTTGAGTTTTAGCCAATTTTATTCGGTTTATAAAATCCATGTTTATATCATTACTAACCCGCTATAAAGTATTATGTAAATACAGCACGAATTTAACTGTTCATCAAAAGGATACTTTACCTACAAATTTAACCACATTTGCATATTAGTTTATGCTGGTAGGTTTTATGAAAGTCTTCTACAACTTTGCGTTAATCAAAACAAGCCTCTCTAATTTTACGAATAGAAAGTGCATTTATATTGAATAACTTATGCAGACTTGTGAAGCGAATATTTTTTATGATTACTTATATGATTCAACTACCTTCAAAATCACATACAAATAAAACGAAATTAATCAGCATAATTGAATATTTGCAAGCCCTACACGATATAAAACGACATGTTTTAATGTTGTTTAATAAAACTATTTCAGAAAACTTGAAAAATATAATCAATTTAGATTCACATGTTCTATACATTTATAAGATGAGTTATGTAAAACAACTTTGTTCGTTTATGGCATAAAAGGTCAAGCTCATGTTTTTATTGCGAAACGTGGAGAAGCAAAATTTTGTTTTTACGTCATCTAATGTTCACCTAAAGATGTTATTTGATA